TGATATATTCCACACTAACAAGCGTCTTCTGCCATCGGTGCTCTCTAGCACCCGAGTCACCAAAAGTTCAATCTAACTCTATCTCTACTCTCATGTAAGCAGTATCATTCTCCAGCTTAAAGACTCTCCTGCGAGTTGTCAAAAGTTCAGTCTAACTCGACCTCTACTCTCATGCAAGAAGCCTCAGCCTCTAACTTAGTGGCTCTCTCGCGAGTCGCCAGAAGTTTTGCCTAACTCTGCTCTCACGAAAGCAGTCTTAGTCTCCAGCTTAGTAGTTTCACCAGAAACTCGACCTAACTCTACATCCACCCTCGCGCAAGTAACCTCAGACTCTACCTTAGCAGCCCTTTTGTGAGTCACCAGAAGCTCAGCCTCACTCTGTCTCTGCTCTCATGCAAACTGCCCCAGTCTCCAATTTAACGACTCTCTTATGGGTCACACAAAACTTGGTCTAATTATGCCTCTACTCTCACGTAAGCAACCTTGATCTCCAAAAACTCGGTCTCAAGAGGTGCAACTCTCTCATGAGCCACCCATAACTCCTCCTTTGCAGCCCTCCTTTGTCTATCTCTCCCTCATCAAAGTTCAGCTGCTAAAAGAAAACAATGACAAGATGGCTTATTAATGTTCTCTCCCCCAAATCTAACTAGGCTCAGGGCATGGGAGGTAAATGACAAGCCCATCCTAGACCATGTCCACCACAAAGACCCAATCAGAATTACAAATCAGACCCAACTTAAAGGCCTAGTACAAAAAATATAGACTAGACTCAGAATCACAGATCAGGCCCACCTCAACACTTACAGGCCAAGTGGTTGACTCTGGCTTTCTAGTCTTTTCTTCCGCCCCACCACAAGATGGAGGAAGGTAGGTCAAGTTAGTCACGCCATTTTGAGGGAGTTAGGTCAATTGAGTTATCATGAAAAATTCAGTCCACAACTGACGTGCGAAGAGATCTCATTGAGACCTGTACGTCACCACTTCCATATAATTATTTCGCCTATTACGAGAAAGGCGGCACCTTCACTAATCTGTCTCACCTAATACGAGAAATGCGTCTATAAATTGTAAACTTTACCTACATATAGGGATATCTCATACCTATCACTTATACTTGTGCACCCTACATTCCTTAAAAAAATAAAACACTCAAGTCATTTTAACCCTTTACAATAAAATATGTCACTTTAATTGAATCACTTAAATTGTTATTTATTTGTGTTGTCTCTCATAATTTATTACTACATTCAACACTTGACAGATGGTATATAAACCTATTTTTGTGTATCATCAGCTTTCATACCGAGCCAAGTTTAGACTTCTGATACCAACCGTACCTTGCTTTCTAAAAGCAAAATGTCACTCAGAGAATCAATTGGATATGACCATGTCAAGAGGTGAAAATGATGAAAGCATCAACTTTTTAAGAGTAATCGTGGCACCTTTTCAATTTCAAATGCCCGCCAAAAGCCTTGGCTCTCTGTATCGTGATAGCATAAACAACACTGTTGATCAAGATTTTTTAGTAAATTTTTTATCTCAAATTATATGATATAGTTTTCACCATTAAATAAGTAAATTTTATTAATATTCAATGATAGAGATCATGTCACATTATTTAAAATAAAAAATTTAATAAATATAACATTATTGTAACATAAATATTAGCATACTATAATGGTAGGGCAAAGGTCCTTGAGACTTCTTGGTGGTTTTTGACCAAGGCAATCGGTGGCAATTTGAGTTCTTGATATATGAAAGGGTTATCCTCCAAATCTCACGTATAGCTCGACATTAGTGTGTGATTTACTATTTATGTCACACATATAATCTTCTCTTTCTCTTTCAAAAAAATACGAAAGATAAAAAGAAAGAAATAATAAAGAATTTTAAAATTTACGAAAATTGGTCTTTATGTTTTCTATCACATGTCTAATATACATATTCATGGTATATTAAACTCTTCCAATATAATCCTATTTTCATATATGTTTCTCACATTAATTACTCATTAAACTCTCCTTCGTGACAATCAGAGAGTTTGAGTCAAATTCCAATAAAATCAACCACAAATTATAATAAATAATCAAAGAAATCAATTAAAAAAAATCAAAAAATATAAATTTTTTATGTGGCAATGTGTAGGGCTGACCCTTGTAGTTAAGTTTAAATTCAATAACTACCCTTCTAATTCTGAAATTTCACTGTCACCCCCCTATCAATGTTTTGTCGGGTTACGACGTTAACGAAGAATAGATTTACAAAAATATCTCTGAATATTTTATAGGATAAATTTTATCCATACCCTTGTAAATAAGCCTAACTTTAATAACACTCTTTCCTGATTCTAAAATTTCAATACACTCTCTTTTAGTTCTATTAATTAGAATATTAAATTCTATTAATTTAATATTTAAACCTATCAAATTAATGTCATTTATTTAATTTAACACCAAATGAACATTCAATTTCATTAAAGTAACATTCAAATTTATTCAATTAACATTAATTTTTATCAAATCAACACTAAATTAATATTTAACTTTATCTAATTAACACTGAATTAATATTTAAATTTATCAAGTTAAGACCAAATTTATTCAATTAATATTAAATTTTATATAGGAACAATGATGTGTGAAGAGTAGTCGGGTGACATTATGGAAAACAGACGATAACATAGGAGTTAGAAATTGAAGGGATTTTAACATTGATTTTGTCGATTGTAATTTTTACTATAGAAAAATTATTTTTAACTATAAAAATTATAAAAACTCAATTATGTAACCATATGAGCGATAATATGATGACTAATATTATAACAAAGTTATCATACAACACTTTAAAATAATAAAAAATCATTAGAATAATATAATGATAAAAATCACGCTTACTGGTTGATTAGGATATATATAATAGGAAAAGAATTGTAGGTCTTTTAGTCTATTTACATTGCAAAGGATAATTTTGACATTTTCACAAAAATATTTAATCAAATCATTACTTTATCAACTGACAGAGGCAAAAGTTAACGTTAAGGGGAAGGGGGTATCATTGATTTGAAAGTATAAATTCGAAGGATGTGCAATGAAGTGTTAAAATCGAGAGGGATTGTCATTAAATTTAGACCTAATTACAGAAAATGTTGATAAAATTTTTCCTAAAATTAAAGAAGACCGATAATATGAGAGAATTTAGATTAATTTCTGCAGGAGTTAACATAAAAATAGATGACATCCTTTTTTTTTTTTTTTTTGGGGGGGGGGGGGGGGGGAAGAGCTAGATTGATTTCCACTAGCAAATTCAATAAGAATGTTTGAGAAGGCTAAAACAAATATTTGTATATGCATATTGCTAAACCCTTGCATGGTAAGTTTGTAACCCTTCAAACAAACAGTTGTCATCATTTTAGTATACCCTCAAGTAGACAACTTCAATAAAAAGAAAAATCAAGACTGTTCATTCACTGGGCATGAAATTATTTGGCATGATTTGGTTTGTAAGCAAGCATTGATAATTATCTCTCTCATTAAAAAAAAAACGTGTGCAATTATTTTGCTCACAATAGTGATACTTGTACCTAATTTAGTAATTTAATATATTGTGGTTATTAAATTGATGTTCGGTTTTCTTCAATACTAAGTTTCGCTATTAATATAATTGTCACAATTTATTAACTTCTCAAACTAAGTCACAATAGCATTCCTTGAATTTTTATTGTGTCCTTTGTATAGATATATACATGCAAATGTTTAAAATATCTAGATCTCTTGCATTACACTTTTTTTCATTTCACTCAATGGTAGATTATATATCCTACATAGGTGAGAGAAAAATAGTATTTAAACCTAATCTGGAGACTTAATCAATCACAGTTGTTGAATTGAAAGTGCGTTTCATCTAGTATTGAAACTCATAACTAGTCCAATAAGTACATTTTATTAGGTTCCTATTAGGTCCCCATAGCATTGCTCGGATTAAAGTCCTACTTATAAATTATATATCTCAATTATATTTACCTAGCGTTATTTACCTTTAAATTAAAGTGGAAGGGATGAATAAGGAGGGGATATCAATACGAGTTTAAAGGAGGGGGGGGGGGCCCCATGGGACCCCCCCCCCCCCCCCCCCCCCCAAAGTTCAAATTGCTTTCCCACGTCCATATCTACTTGGAATAAGAACCCAGAAATAAATACACTGGCCGTCCCAGTGGGGAAAAACCTAGATACATGTTGGTGGGTGTGTGTGTGTAAATTATGTGTATATTAGGCAGCAAACACAAGTTAATAACTGCTTTTAATAAAACTAGGTATTGCCTAGCAAAGGCAGCATATACAAGTATCTTCCAGGCATGTACATGTAGAAGACACCAAAGAAGTGGTCCCCTCTCCTTTTTATAAGAATTAAGAAAAATGCTATTTGTACCTAATTTAGTAATATTATTTGGTGACATAATAAATCATAGTAATTTCAATTAATAATGGGGTCTAGTGTCAATCTAAAAACAGAGAATAATAAGATTATCAAATAAAATCACTAAATAAGGTCTATGTATCATTGCTCTAAGAATAAATAGTCTCCAATAGGTTCACTAATTCTTCAAAGTTTTTTTTCTTTTTTTTTTAATGGGCATGGAAGAAATCAAGAGAAGAGTCCAAGTGAACAAGATTCAAAGTTCAAATAAAATGACTCCTTGACTTGCAAAATGGACAATATAGCTGTATAAACCCATTTCGTACGTTGTGTACCCTTTTTTATATGTATTTACGTACATCAAAACAGATTTCTTCTCCTTTGTTTTTATGTAGTATCTGTTAATCTCTATCATGTTTCTCTACATGAAAGTCACTCAAGTTTGAAATTAATGAAGAAAAAAATCCATTTTCACGTAACGTTTAAGGTAAAAAATCTGGTCTTCTTCTAATGTCTTCGAGACTTGAGTCTATCTAATAGATAGCATATTACCTTTCTTTTGACTGACCCTCCCCCTCTCTCTCTCTCTCTCTCTCTCTCTCTCTCCAAGATTTAAAACCAAGAAATTGTTTACAAGCTCTCACCCACCTTCTTATAAACCTCATCTCTCATTCCATTGATTCAGTGTGGTGTGGCTGTGGCTGTGAATAAAAACATTAAAAAAACAGAAGATCTAGGGAAGCAATGGGTAATGGATATCATCAGAGTCATCTTCATCACCAAAACTTCCATAACAGAAGCACTTTCTTGCCGACTTTGTGCCGAGTATCGATCAAAGACATAAAGCTCTCGAGAGCACATTCATCCTCCTCCGATGACCCTTCATCCCCAAGAGTCAGCTGCATGGGCCAGGTCAAGAGAAACAACAAAGTCAATGGCTTCCCAACTCCATACAAATTCCACTCTCCAACTTCCACCACCACCAAAGCTCATCCTCACAACCACCACATGAAATACACAAAGCTCAAGAGGCTGCTTTCTGGCAAAAACCTAACTGCCACCACCACCACTGCCCCCGCCGCCGCCATCGCCACTAGTAGCGGTTGTAATAGCAGAAGAGGCATGATTATATGTGATACTAGAAGGCCCAGGTTCAATTATCATAATAATGTCCCAGTCAACATTGTTGAATTGGATCCGCCTTTGCCGGTGGTCCGAAGGGTGGAGCCTCCGGCCACTGGCCGTGATGAAGGTAATCTATGGAAGAGAAGATCTGGTAAGATGGCATTGAAAGGTTTACAGATTGAACAAATTAATGTACCTGACAATCAGTACTTACCACCAGCATCCATATGAAGTGAGACTCCAATATTTCAAGGTATTAGTATGAAAATATATTGTAGATGTGTCACTTCTTTTCATTCAAAATTGTAGATTCTTCTTTAATTCAAAAGACAAACATTTTTGTTGCTTCTTTATGCCACAACATTTAATTGTACTAGATCCAAATGTTCTCCATCTCTCCCTCTTTCGGATCCTCTGAATTTGGGTCAAATTTCAAAGGCCAAAATTTGGACTCACAACAGCAGGTCTGAGAAGGTCAAGAGTGAACTAGCTCATCAATTAATTAAGAGAATGGATAAAGAAGTTAATGTCGGGAAATTTAGGAGCTTATAGTTTCGATTCTAATTTTATCAATTAGATGAACGATAAGGAAGTTTTGCATCTAACATCTATATTTGGAGATGATCGGGTAAAACTCAGGAGTCTTAGTTGTCAATTACCGAACGATCGATTGGGTGTTCAATATAGAATCAATTTTCTCTTGAGAGTTAAAATTCAAAGAAAGTCTAATTTAGTTTATTATTTAATTGCTCTACTCCCCCTCCCCACCCCGTCAAAAAAAAGTGAGACTTGTTCTTTCTCTCCGGTGAAATACCAAAAAAAACTGCAAAAAAATTCAGTGAATTATTGAAGCTATTAATGTGATTGATCAGTCCTTTTATTTATCCTCTAGCTTGGCTCTCCCTTGGGCAGCCTACTTTTTAATCCTCTAATTGGCTCGCTTTTGCAATAGTCGGGATTATTTTGTTGGATTGATCGGTAGAGTAGTAAACTCTTTTAAAGGATGGAATATACATTCCTTATCAGACATGCCGAACAATTGTCGTGGATTCGAATACCTCCTACGGAATACATCATACAAAGCTACTTAGATGGTATTTGGATGGCAAATTTTCGTTTTCCCACTGGTTTTATCCATTGATGGTGCAACTCAAATTCAGAATATGAGCTTTGGGGGTGGGGGGTAACATGGGCCACTATTTTTAAGGTACTTGTAGGAAGCAATACAATGTGTAGGCTGACTGTACCTCTGCATCTCTCACCGCTGGCATCGTGCTTGCCATGGTTCACACTCTACCATGATGGATAGCCTATATTGTACCCAAAGCTGACTTTCCATGTGATTGATGTGGTAAAGATGCTCTAGAATTTTTTGTCTATTATTTAAATGTAGAGACCTTTTACAACCAATTTCAACCCGTTTAAACTTGGTGATAACAACTTATGTGTACAATCACTCTCAAACAGCGATGCACGTTGTACTAACTTATAACCTCAAGGTAATACACCCCAAAAAATCTTTCAGAGGCAGCTCACCCCTAAAATTAGGATGCTCTAGAATTGATATCAAAATGATGACCGGCTTGTGTATGAAATGAATGAACCAACCATGCACGTAAAGCAACACATTGAAGAAATGGTATTAGAGCATAACCAAGATAAGTTTGCCTAACAAAATAGATACATTGTCTCCAACAAACAACACAGAGCGAGAATGAAATTAGCTAGTTTGCTTTAAAATTCACATCTAACAAGTGACCTTTAATGGTGCCCCTTCAGTTCAACAAGAGGACATTACCAGGGCTCTATTGTCCCAATTCCAGGTTTGAAATGGTCTTGATGTAGCACGCAATTCACAACCGAAAAGCTCAAAAGGTAGCACATATTGCAGCTATGCAGAAAAAGGGCTACGGCATAAAACATAACTGCCTTACATTATTAACAGCTTTATTGCATTAACCTAAAACAGCTACTCACCAGGCAACCTACAAATTTTCCAGGGGTTGGCTCATTATCAGGGCGCCCCCCGGGGGAGAGACATAACACATCAGAATGTTGTTTCACCGCACTAACTAGTGCTGTGAGATCAACAGCCTACTTCATGTTACAAATCTGGAGTCCACATATGAGTAAACAGCCTTTGCTACATGCAGGAGAGAATAAGCACAGTGGTTATGCATGGAAGAGAGAATAAGTAAAAGCAGAGAAAAAATATCTAAAGCCATAGGTGTAAAGATCAAGACCTTTCCACTCAGAAGCTTTGCTCAGGGCCTCAGGCTTCTTATAGTGACAGAAGAAGTATGACACTTAAATGAATCATTCACAGTAGTACAAACTGAAGTATCATACATGTCTAGAATAAAAACGTGCTGATTAAATCTTGTTAAGACATTATACCAAGCTAAAAAACATGGTAACAGAGAGCTAACAGCTACGAGATCTAGAGTTCTCCAGGTTTCATACTCTAAAATTTTAATTTGTACAGCAAGGGATTAAGTCACAGGTCAGCATGTACAATAAACAGCCAAGCCAGGAATTTCTTCATGAAACAATCAATTTTGCTCTTTATAAGGGGTCCATATCAATTTGCTAACATCAACTTCAAGACCACCTCGGCCAGCAGCTTTCAGATGACGATCCAATACCTTGGGATCTGCACAAATGACATGCTGCCCCTTTCGGTATTGGATCAATTCTAAGCTCTGAAGGGTGGCCAAGATATCCTCCGCCTTAATGGCTGTCATGTCACTAAGTTCCTGTAAAAAGTAACCAAAGTAAATAGAACAGTACTAATGAGGGGGCATAAGTTATGAATTTGGCATCCACCCCAGAATCAATCATTTGTCCAATTTACCCCCATTGCCAACCATATAACAGAGTAAGCCATTTACTTGAGTATTTCTGTTCACACATACCAACTTGATTTTGGTTCTTTTTCAAGATGTTATGTGGACCTTTTCGCAGACCATAGAATATAGAAAGTGATGAAGAAAATGGAGATATCCAAAACATATAAAAATATAAGAAATTACAGTTCCAATGGAAATATGTTTTTTTTTTTCCTTCAGCTTTTTTTACTTTTTTGCTTAAAAGAACTAGTTGAGAGAGAGAGAGAGAGAGAGAGAGAGAGAGAGAGAGAGAGAGTGGAGGTTGGGAGTTTGATCATGGGTAACCCCTCATGAGCAACTGCCCCCAATGAATAAGTCCAAGAGTTGCAGTTGAAATGTTTCTACAGGATTATATCAACTGCTAAATCCAACAAATTTGGGCAGATTTTTATATCCCGGTAGCAATACTATTCAAATTTTAGAAAATGTGGAATTCTTTGGAGTCTTATATTGAAATTTGACTATTATAAATTACATTTTGGAATAACTTGTTTCGCTTGATTGATTTTCCCACCGATGGATCAAAAATAAATAATCCTTGCATTATGGTTTTATTTTAATAATGAGTTTCAGATTGCCCCCATTGCACAAAAATCCTGGCTTCGCCCCTACGCAAGCTTCCCATCAATTTGGATGACCCATGCATACATTGTGGTGCTGACGCCATTCCACAGGATTATTAAGGCCTATAACCGATGCAGCAAACAATATGGATGTCCAAGAAGCAGTTGAACCATAAGTAAACTGAGGAGTGAGGACGTCTAATATCCATGACATACCTTGATAGAGATGTTTCCCTTGTGCTTCTTCAAAATATCTAAAAGAACTCGGGTCCAATATCCTCGATAACTTAATAGTCCCAAATCAGAAAGGGGTCTTTCAGGTGTGCCGACTTTGCCTTCTTTCTTTGATAATTCGTATGCTTCACCATGTAGAAATGAGATCAGAAATTATTTGCACTTGAAAATCAAGAAGACGACAAAGAAACAAGGAAATACAAAAGGAAAAATAAGAATTAGTCAAATAATTTTCTTTGAATAATATATACAGAGACACTGACATTCTATACCAAGACTTCTCCATAAGGGAAAATTGTGAAAATGTACATTATACATTAGGAATTTGTGAGGAAGTACCTTAATATAAATCTTCTGTATATAAGTCTTTTGTTGTGTAAATGTTTTGTGAACAGATACACTTTGACTCTTTTTAAATATTTCATTTACATAAAAGCCCTTTCCTTTATTCGTGGAAGATAAGTTAGGCAATTAATTGTGGGATTCAATTTCTTATTTTATTGGGACATTTTCTTATTTTTTCATTCTATTTTAACCGTTTGAATTTTGGAAGGATTCCATTAGTTTTAAAAAGATTTTTTATTCTCTCTATATCTGACTCTCACTGTTAACATCTCTCTCCCTATTTTATCTCTCTTTTCCCTCTCTCCCTATTTTCTCTCTCTCTCTCTCTCCCTCTCCCTCTCCCTCTCCCTCTATTTTCACTCTCAAACTCGTTCTTTCTTCCATCGTTATTCTTCTCTCCCTATTCTCTCTCTCCCCCCTTTTATTTTCTCTCTCTGTTTATGCAGTGTTACATTTAAATCACATTATGTGATGCCCACCCTGCACAAAACACTGCACATGATGTTTGTTTTGTAGTGTGACATTGAAGTCACACTTTTGATGCCCACACCATGAAAAAACAATGCATATGATGTGTAGTTGCATTGTGACATTGGATTCACACTGTGATACTCACCATGTATTTTTTAATCTTTATGTGATGTGTGTCTGAAGTGTTACATTGGAGTCACAGTGTGATACCATCCATGTGCAAACTCTGTATATAATGTCTATATGCAGTGTGACATTAATACCAAATTTGTGATGCACATAGTGTACCAATCCCTGGGTCACATTGTGGTACTTTTCATGTGCCAAAACCTGCATATGTTGTGTGTATACAATAGACATTAATGTCACATTATAATGTCTACAGTGGCCCAACTTTGTATATGTATTTTACAAGTAGTATGACATTGGCGTCACAATATATGTGTCACAATTTTGTAGTCACAAAAAATATATATAAAGAAAAAAATAGTCCTTATCTTAGAAAGTGTATATATATATATGAGAGAGAGAACGAAACAGTTCTAATATAATAAAATCTTAAAATTTAAGCATTTTAGAAAGAATTGGGAAAGATTTCAAATTAAGAAATTTAAAATTTATTTAAGTTTTGGATTTAGCTATGTATATGTATGTGTGTATATATATATGAGATATAAAAAGAGAGAAAGAGAAAGAGTTCTAATATAAGAAAACTCTAAAATTTAAGAGTTTTAATTTTCAAATTAATTGGTTTCCTTATCTGGTTTTTTCAATAGTGATGTGATGATGTCAAGGACTCAGGGTACTTCAGTCCTTCTGCTCCAAAGTGTACTTTTTGCCAATTTTTTTTAAAATTTGTACTTAAAGTCAAATAAGTTATAAAAAGTGTAACAGCTTCTAAAAAACCCTACAATTAAACTAACATGTCATTGGTTAGAAAGCAGTTCATTTATGCAAGTAGGCGAGTAGAATATTCAGGACTTTGCACAACCATAGGATGCCACACAAACTTATATCCCTATATGGGTACGACCAGTGTTTTGAAAAGCTCGCCTAGGCGAGAAGCGAGGCGAGGCGAGCTTATCTCGCCTGGAGGACCCCAGGCGAAGCGAACGTGAGCGAAGCGAGAAAAAAGCGAGAAAAAGCGAAGAAGCGAAAAAAGCGAAAAAACGAACGCTTTATTATAAAAAGCGATTCTGCTTCACTTTTTTTTTTTTTTTTTTTTTCTGATTACAGGTTAGTAGTCTCTTTTATTTTTTAATCACTATGACTTTTTTTTTAGACTATTGCTGGTCTATTTTTTTTTTTTCTAATAAACAATGTTTCGAACAAAACACATTCTTTTTTTTTCCTTGTGTTGCTGAATTCATTTAGAATATTTGTGGGATGTGGGAGTCAGGCGACTACACTGCATGACAATTATGATAAAAAAATAAAGCAGGAGTATCAGAAATGGGGGTAAATAATAAATTCTTCTACAAAGAAGTGTCTCTGATATGTCTTGGTTATACTTTTCTCTTTTCTTATATATATACAAATGGTACCAAAAAGTGGTCTATGCTTATACCATGTTTAATTATTTTAGTACATGTGAAATGTGCCTCTGTTCTGCTTTTTTTTATTCAGTATATAATTACATATGAAATTGTTTACAATTGATTCTGCTCCTGTCATGATCATTGTGCTTCTGTTTTTTTTTTAGCTCATTCTGCTTCTATTTTTTTTTTTTTGATTCTGTTGCTGCTTCGATTTTACTGTCCTGTGTTGCTTTTGTTTTTTTTTAATTGTCATTCTGCTTTTTTTTTTTTTTTGTTGCTAATTCTGTTGTTGTCCTGATTCTGCTTCTTTTGCTTCTTTTGTTGTCCTACCCTGTCAATATGAAAATGTATACAATTGTTAGTATTTGTTTGAATTTAAATGTTTAAATTATGACTGTTATTAAGATTTGAGATATTATTAGTGTTTTTTTTAATTTAAATGTTTATGGTTTTACTTGCATTTAAATATTTAGTATATATAAAATTAGAACTTAGATTGTTTAGAAGTAATTAAACTAAAATATATTTTTTTTTTAACTGTTCGCTTTGCTTCGGTAAAGCGTGTCGCTTCGCTTCTCGCTTCTCGCCTAGGCGTTTGGAGCCTTGGTCGCTTCGGTTCGCTTTACGCCTTAAATAACACTGGGTACGACCGATTGTCACTTGCTCCATCTAAGGAGGTGACAAAGAAAATGGTGCACAACCCATCTAGAATTCAATAAATACTTACACAAAGGGGTACCCCAATCAAAAATCATCTTGAGGAGCTTCCTCAAGTCTAGCTCATGTGACACTAATCACATCCATGTGGAGTAAGGTCCTAGAATTTCTATTGTACCCCCATAATCTAATTAAGCAAGGGGCACAATTGGGTTGTCCAAAATTAAATCATCTTGAATTAACTTTTCCTCAGTAAGTTGGCAGTCCATTTTGAGCTTAGAGACATTTCACAGCAAGATACCATCTCACTCATTATCCACAAAATATCTAGGTATTCATCCCTTAACCCAAAAACAAGTAATTGTTCTGCACACCTACGTACTAAAAACAAATACAACGGAATAGTACTTCTTCATTTTGCTAAAAACAAAGTTCATATAGCAAACAATGGGGGAATTCAGATGGAAAAGTCTTACAAAATGCAATAAGGAATTTTCCATAGCCTTTCCTCTGATAGGGAGGAAGAGTGAGAATGCAAGCCAAATTATAGGACTCCTCTGAATGTTTTTCCTGCATCATGTTACAATGCATGATTAATAGACATTTTATTTCCAAATATTACAAGAATATCACAATTGCCTTTGAAGCCCTCAGAAAGTCAAAACCTTCCATGTGATTCTAATTTCAACATACTATATCCTGCTCAGCAAGAATCTCTGACAATGTTCACCTTTAGACGATGTGAAGAGAAAAAAAGAACATGAAAAATTCAAGATGTTTTAGTTGCTTTAGGTGATGGCTGCATAGCAAGCAAGGAAAATGACATGGTATCAAAAGCGAAATAAAGCAACAGAGTCAAAGCTTACGTGGGAGTTTTTATTAACCTTGCAAGAATGCAACATCAAATAGCCCAAACTACTCAAAAAATAGCCCAAACTACAGAACCAGAGAAGCAACTGAAATTTCAGAAAAAAATTTATCTACTGCTCCCGGCTGGCACTGCTTTTCGTGAAGGCCAAAGTTGACAGAGTTTGCAGTTTGGCAGAGTCAGAGTCAGAGCTTCGAAATAAATTTCTATCACTGTAGTAGGAAGCTAGGACTGTGGCATCAAATAGCACAAACTATAGAAACAAAAAGTAAATGAAATTTCAAAAGCTAAATTTATTCTACTGCTGCCTGCTGGCACACGTTCATTCAATGAAGGCCAAATTTGACAAGATAGAATTTGCAGTTTGTCTGACAGAAATTTCGTCCCTATCATTGCATTGTGCAGATTAGATAAGACATCGACATTATGGAATTATAACACTAAAACAAGTGAAGACATTAAGGCCAATACTATCCTTGATTAGTTTTCCCACTGATGAGTCTGATCAGCTGCTTATTAGGCAATTTCTAGCTTTTACAAAAATAGTTAGTCTCCTGGCATACGTTGTTTGGACACTCTAGCCCTATGGTAGTTTAGATCGCCTATTTGATACCGCAACTGCATGGCACGTGATATCACTGTTAACTACAAAATTCCCAAGAGCTATCACATCCAAAAAAATAAATTGCTAAAACTCTTGCAGGACAACAAGAGTAGTAATAGAAGTGCAATGAAGAGTCTCTCTAACTCAGTTACCTTGGAGAAGTAGCCAACCATGTGGCATCCTCGATCATCACATTCACAAAGCACGTAAAATAAAAACAGGTCGACATCATAATAGAGGGTCTTGTGATCAAGAAACAATTTTGCCAGATAGCAAAGGTTTTGTCCGTAAACCTTGTTCTTTTTGCCATCAACCTGCTTCAAAGCATTAAAATTTAGAAATTCCATAGGAAGTGTGTAAACCAGATAGGTGCAACTACAAATATTTGCAAAGATACCACATAAAAACAAGAGTAAACAACTCTAGAGGAACATGAATGTAAACAATAATGTATTTGCAATTGCAATACCAAAATAACTACAAAATCATAAGTTTGAATGTTTCATCAAACTGAACAACGTAACTTGAGAAATTCCACAAAATTTGTTCCCTAAAATATTTACTGATATAATGTTTCAACCTGCACGTGGCTATAAGAGATATGCAATCATGATAGAGACAAACTTAAACCACGAAGCATTCAAAAAAATGAAATAACATAAAATAAAAACCAAAAAAAAAAATCTGATGCTGTACCTCAAACATTGACAGGGTACCGCTGCGATATATTTCATCACCAGGGGGATGCTTAAGATCACATTTCTTCTGCAGACATAAAATACAAGTCAGATAACGCTCCATAAGAAAAGCTCCACTGCATCTTTTCCTTCTTGAAAGAAATTCCCTTACATCTTGAAATAACCTACTGGAAAATTAGAAACCAACTAACAATAGAAAAACCAAATGACTACCTTGAGAATGAAATCCAAGTGATTGACAAAGAAGAACTTCAGCCATTAATTCAACAAAATTAATGTTCTTCGGCATGACACATAAAGAAACATAGTTACTACCAAAGACATTACATGGGAGAAAAGCAGTTATCAAAAAATAAATAAATAAAACTATTTCACTCTCACTACATATCCTTTAGCCATCAAGAGATCCAATGTCATGCTGGCTTTATTTTGCTTCAGACTGTCTCAAAACTGTACATTTACCCTCAAACAATATGAGAAAGGCCTTAAACAAGCAGGCAATTCTGATGTACATGCATGCATGTATGTACAGGTGGACAAGAATGCAGGCATGCAAATGAGCTCAAACAACCATATGGTGTTCATCCCTCAGGCTGAGCTCAACAGGGTATGCAGGAAGGTTCCCCAAGTATCCCCCAACCACCTTATAAATAAGTTGAACATGATGCTTGAACCCACCGCACATCCCCCCTCCCTCCCCCCCCCCTAAAATAAAAAAAAAACAACCAACAAACACACACACCAAAATAAATAAATAAATAAAATAGGAAGATCAAGATGCAAGACATTTATATATTACTCTTGCAGGTTAGTCCATCCCTGATGGACTAGTCACACACTCATACAGAGCAACTTAACTTCGTAATGTTGTATTATAAGTCATAACCCAACTGCTAGGGGTTAGAGCATGAAACCCTCAGTATCATCTAGCTCTAGCTAAATACCTAATTCTGACCCAGTTCACAGCCTTGAAATTCAGCAAGTACTTGAAAAAAAATTGGATTAGATGCAATGACTTGAGTTAAATAAATCGTTGCTGTGAAGGTAGAATGGCACTGACAAGTCTAGAATGGCACTGACAAGTCTAGAATGGCCGATTAGAATATTATCATTGCTGTGAGTCACCATGAAGGCACAAAATAGTATACGTGGCCAAAATCAGACAGCTAGACAAGACAAAATAAGATCTGTCAAACAAATCCCAGTAATTGGATTAAGCTGCATCAAGTTAGGGTTAACAGGATCCAAGCCACCCAAAGTCATAAGAGGGCATAACATCCACAAGTTGATAAATCGTTCTTCCCTCATGGAGATGGTCCCGTTGCATATAGACTCGACTCACACTAGTGGCGCTTTACTGTGCACATATCCGAAAGCGGTGATAGCTTTCTAAGCGAGGATAATCAACTTATGAAGAAATAATGCTATGTGTCTCAGCAAATGAACAATCTCTCCCTTGCTACCAATGATACCACTTTAAATCCCACATATAGGTGTTAAAGCACCCCAACAGTCAGTGTTAATCAAAAAAATTTGAAACAGAAAGCCATACAAATTTCCATTGAAATGGCTTCTCTCAAAATTGGTGTCAAACACAGAGAATTCTCAAAGCTTTTTATAACCAAAAACCTACAATAAATCAGATGTATGCAACTTTATTCCTATTGTTAAACCCAATTCCCATTCTGATATCATATCTTAAATATAAACCCAATTCCCATCGTTAAACGTAAATCCCTTGACAAATCAATAGGAAGTGCTGCAACCAATTGCTCCCATAACAAGCATTCAAACTTGATATGTCTTATCAACCTAGATTTTACGCATTTCATTTCTCACAAGTTCTATATGTAATATTCTTTTAGTATTAGTGTCTAATTCTTTGGGAACATTAAGTGCATCTTACCGTAAAGATTCAGAGGATAAAAGTGAGTACAAATGCAATCCTCTATACAGGCACATGATCAACAATTTCAATCGCAAGCCAGCGGCACTGCATCAATCTAATGAAAGGTCTGTACCCTTCTATAACTCTATCGTTGAAAGATTCTCACAAAATTTATTTTTGAACCATATACGGGTACATGATCAACAACTTCAATCACAGGCCAAAAGGCAGGCACTGCATCAAGCCAATCAAAGGTCCTTACCCTTCTATAACTCTATTGTTGCAAAATTCTAACGAAATTTATTCTTGACCCACCAGATCATACAAACTTCGAACCTATTACGAAGTAAAATGCGTGTGTAAACAAACAGCATCCAATTTACAGTCCATTCAGCCCAGGGGCTGAAATTCGTCATGGTTGGACTCTATTAAGTTTTCAATGTGCAAATAGTTCAACCAACCATGACCTACAAATGGTAGGAAACTGTACTTCCATCAGAAAGAAAAAGAACTTCGTGAAATCATCATTGAAAATCTGTCTCAACGTGCTTCATAGTATATAGCAGTCATGAACTTCACATTCTTTCCACTGCCAGTGGCATGTAGGAATACTCTTCATGATACCCATCAGAAAACCATATATCTGAAGCCTCTGCTCCAAGTTAGTAGAGCAAATGAATCGGTTATGGAAAGAACTATCACTCATCTTATGGGGTGGGAATTTGCAACACACAAGAATGATAAAATCAATTTCAAACCCGGTAAGTTGCAACAAGATGTGAAAGTAACTGTACTATATTTTCAAAAATAATGAATACCATGAACGTTACAGTTCCAGGTTGGCAATGCATAATGTCAAAACCCCAGCCTCGTCTTAATTATAAAAGGACAAACCTGTTTCAGTAAAATTACCAGACAAAACCCTGTTCAATTTGGGCCGGTTGGCAACATCAGTATCACATTTTCCCAGGTTGGTTAACAAGCTTAATACAGGGGCTGATAAGATATATAGATCAATAAATGAGTTGCAATTTGCAGTATAAGCCTCAGATAAGGCATGTGACAGTCAGAGGGAAGCACTAAAAAATGGAAAACGGAGACAGGTACTCTAGACATTAAACAAGCATTTGACTCATGCTATGCCACAATCTAAATTTCACAAAGCAACAAGAACTACAAGAAATTGAGGCAAAGCTCACCATATGCCTCTGAAGCTGTTCCTTGCGCTTCATGAAATTGAGGCAAAACTCACAAAAGTACAGCTTCAAACAGTCATTGTACTCTGGTGGAAAGGGGGAGAAGTACCATGTCTCAATCTCGTATCTTCCAAGTTCTATAGTAGCTATATTTTTAACTTTAGTGAATTCTTCATGTTCACGCAAGCTGGCAGCATCAAGCTCCTCATGGCCCTATAATCAAAGGAACACGTTTAGATAATTTTGAGTCAAAACACAACACACATGCAAACATAGGGCGTAAGAGACAAAAGGCAAAAGCATGTGTGTTGAACCTCTAATGTAATGACTAACATAAAAATTTCTATTCAAGTTGTTGCTACTTATGTAGATGAACCAGATATCAATTTAGGAGTGCACGTGTGTGCATGTGCAAGGGGGAGAGAGTGAAAGAGTAAGCATATTGAGGACCAAAAACCAAAGTACAATCACAACCAATCTGAAGGTTATAATTTAAGGTGGTAACTCCATCAAAACCTCACTTAAATGATTTTAGCCTCTCAAATGGGTAAAATATCCTTGGTATTGATCCTAATTCTTTGCTAGATCTGATCAGCTTTACGTCACCTTGACACTTCGAGAATTGTGAAACACCCAACTCAAGCACAAGAAAAGACAAAAGAGGATCTGGTATGTTTGCTTGAAAGGTACAACAAAAATTGATACCAAACAAATTTGTCCAACAAAGGCAATAGGGACATTGAACAAAGCAAGAGGAACATGGTTTGTCAAGTATTTTCTTCTCTCATTTGTCACATGAACAATGAAATATCACCAACAACAGGGAGAAAACTTACAATACACATGCACTTCAATTTGTCCACTGAGTCCAGTTATGTCCTGTGATCAAGGATCAAAATTTTGTTTCGGTGCATTGCTTCAGTCACCTAGGAAACGGAAAAGTTTCAACGTATTTCGAAAATGTTTCAACCCGTTTCGAAAAAAGAATGAAAAAAAATAAAAAATTTAAAAATTATTTTTTCAAAATATTTGTCAAAATATACCAAAATATCTTAAAATACCTTGAAACATTCTAAAATAATTGTGCAAATGCATTGAAATATAACAAAATATTTTGAAACATTATAGAACACCTCAAAATATTAGAGTTTGTTTGGTTTGCGTCTCAAAAAATAATATCGAAAAATAATTTTTGAAATGAGTTTTAAAAAAGTGTGTTTTGATATTTTTATATTGCAAAACATGTTTGGTTATATATTTTTAAAAATAGTTTTAAAAAACAAAAAATTGAAAACCTGTTTGGACAATTGTCCACAAACCCCAATTTTCATCTCCCTTCTCTATCTTTCCCGTCTCTCTTTCTCTCCATTTTCTCCTTTCAATCTCCACCCACTTAACACACACAACAAATACACCCACACAACACATACAGTCATTCACCAGAGAAAAGCAGATCTGAAGCAACCCAGATCGAGCAACCCAGATCTGAAGCAAATCTAAAATAACCCAGTTGCTTCGATTCGCTAGAGTTCCTTTCCTTCGATACACAGTCATTAGAGTTGCTTCTTCGATTTGCCAGAGTTCCTTCGCTTCGATACACAATCGTCGGAATTGCTGGTTTGTTTGGTTTGAATCGATTCGCCAGAGTTCTTTCACTTTGTCAGACTTGTTTATTGCAGTCGAGAGAGTAGGAGGAGGAGGCAACCATCGAGCCGGAGAAAAAAAGATGTCTTTATATGAAGGATTTAATGAACAGTAGTATGTCCTCCGTGTTTTCAAAATTTTGACAAAAATAACTTGAAAACAAGCTGGACTTGTTTTCTGTTTTTATGCTCCAATTTCCACTTTTTTCCAAAAATTGGAAAACAAAAATTCAAACCAGACATTGTTTCATTGTTTTTAGAGTTTTTAGTACAAAAAAACAGATTTGAAGAATCAAACCAAACAGACCCTTAGAATGTCAATTCCATCATTAATTCGCTTTGATCTCTTTGGAAACGAAAACATTTCGAATGTTTCGACCGTTTTGAAACGATATTTTGATCCTTGCCGGTGATATACCTACACCCAAACAACTATACATAGCATATATCCTGAGGGCCACATAGTAATTTCAAATGTGGAAAGGTACTCCAATGCAAGGTAATCATTGGATGGATACATACTTTAAGCCAGGGCAAAAAGATGCAAAAACCATCATTTCTTTACAAGCATATTTCCAATAAAGAGGTGCCAACAAAATGAGGAATTAATAATGTTCCACTGAGAGTGAACAGACAAGCTGCTCTAGGAAAGAAATCACCAATAACCAGTCTCACGGAAGTAAGAATGGGAGGAAGGAAAATGAGGGAGTAAAATGAAGAGATGAAAGAATTCCCACCATTAGGTACGAAGGAAGGGAGAAGACTAAGAGACGTGAAGAGAAGAGGGAAACACTTTTTCTCTGAATCCACGTAATCAAGGGAGTAGAGAAAAGGAAAAATCTCTTTATAAACTCTGTCAAACATTGTTACTTCTCCCATATACCGAGATTTTACGGTAAAACAAAAAAAAGCAACCACCTTTTCCACCCTGCTCAACCAATAAAAAAAAAAGGGCAACTACCTTTCCCTTCAGTTAATTCTATGGCTTTAGAGAAAGACAAAAAGAGAGAGTGTAAGGAAGACAGAAAGATACAGAGTATATGGCAGAAGAACAAATCTGAATTCCTCACAAGGCTGTATACATATTTTAAGGTATACCTTGTAGTAACCCTATTACCCCTTGCTTATATGACTCACTAACACCTAGCAAAGCCTTTACAATCCATCCTATCTTCCCTTTCCTTTCAGGTTTGCATCCCTGACGCCAAACAGACCATAGGCGCCCTCAATATATCTATTATTAAATGCTAAGTGGCGAACACGTGTTTATGAAATTCAAATAGTCATTCGTTCTGTTAGACTTTTATATGCAAAGCTGAGAATGTAGTAATAGGTGAGAACATTTATCTCAAAGGTTAATCTAGTTTTCCAAGGAGTCACCACCCAAATGATTCTAGCTCTAGAATACTTGGTAAATGTGGGTTTAAGAGTTAATTTAATTTTCCAAGGAGTCACCACCCAAACGATTCTAGCTCTAGACTACTTGATGAGTGTAGAACTTTTCAAATTGCCCAGGTTGGTTGGTCCCAGTCCAGGATAAGAAGTGTGACAATAAGGTATCATGTTTATCTTTTGCCACAAAAAGATTAAACAAAAGGAAAAATCTAGTTTCTGGTTGTCTAGTAATGCTAAAATTGCCTGAATTTAAGGTAGAAACGGATGCCTCCATCGAACTAAGGAGGGTATCTTAGTGCCAGAAGATCATCCGTTGGCTTTCAAAAGCTGGAAACTAAATGAGATGGAACAGTTTTTACTGTTCATGTAAGGGAATTGACTGCTTTGGTACATTTCTTACCCCTCTGGATACATGATATAGTAGGGTGGGAAGTTCAAAATCCATACTTTAAAGCAAATGCATGCATAGCAGGACCTTGACGTTTGGCCCTAGCTTTGAAAAGTTTAAGGTCCTAACTTTCATACACAACCCAAGAACTAAAATACTGAAAGCCTATATTGCCAAAACAGCTACTTTTTTATTTTTCAATGAATTAGCTACTACTTGGTACCAAAAATTGAATTAACCACTAAGAAATTTTGGAACACAGTTTTAACGATGACAAAATAAAATAATATCAGCAGATCATTCATTTGTAGAAGTTCAACGGTAACAGAATGGTGTCAGAATTCAAATTTGCAGCAGATGCAAGTCACCAGGCGGGACGAGAGGCCAGTAGTGTTAAATGTTTTCATTTGCATATGGCATAGCAACCTGATTGAAGTAGTTTACAGACATAATAAAATTTTAAGTTGTGGTCTCCATCATTTTGTAGATGTTTTCTATTCCCTTCCTCTTGGGCAAGCCTTAAAACTATAACCTGAATCACATAATATTACTCCTCAATTAACTACTAAAAACAAGAAGACGAATCAGCAAAAGTACGTTGTATAAATAGAGTACATTCCTATACCTAACAAAAAATCAGTAATGATGGTAACCTTGGTGGTATTGGTGGTGGTAATCAGATTAGCAACAACACTGATGACAACATTATGATGATGATGACAAAAGATGATACTGTGCCTGGATAAACTCAGTATTGCATACCTCTACATGTGTCTCGTCAATCTTACGTTTCTGGTGGCGTGTCATTTTCAAGCTTGTCACCTGAATCCTCATCAGAAAACCACTCCAATCAGCATATGCATCGAATTTTGTTTATTACGTGAATGGAGGCAAGAGCAAGGTATAAGTTAGAAAAAGGCAAACTTTAAAGGGAAACTAAACCAGCAGAATTATGACAAGAACATCCTACAATAGGAGATAAAAACTTTCCAAAAAGAAACCCTAACACCTCAGGAGAATGGACACCATGGCGGAGAAGTAGAATTCATGAAAATTTTCCTTTCCTTAACATTAGAGAATTCAAAAGGTGAAAAGATAAAAATAAGTAAACAAGCACATAAATTACCTTGTCCTCCACCTTCTCATCTACAACAGCCTCTACTGAATCAAGATCAATTTGTTCAAGTTTAACCCATTCATCAAGCCTCCTATTGACTGTCAAAATAACAAGCAAAATCATGGCAAAGGTAAACACTCAAGGCCAAAGAAAGAAAATCAAAAGAAATTAATCAACACTACACATCTATTTCAACTATTATCACTTGTATGTACACAGCATACAAATATATCATAAAAACAACAAATTTAATAGTTTTAATGGGTTGAGTATTTTAATGGAGAGGACATGGAGATCTAATCTGTTCTGTTGAGGGTTTTGCCATAGGAAGGGAGAGCATTTCAGAGTCTCATTTGCAGTTTGCTGATGATACGATTTTCTTCTCCACAGGACAGAGAAAAAATTTAAAAACTTAGAAAAAATTGTGGAGGTGTTTGGGTTGGTCTATGGTTTGAAGATTAATATGGAAAAAAGTATAAATGTAGGAATTAATTCTAATCAGAAGAAAATTGAGAGGTTGGCCTGAGAGTTAGAATGCTTAATGGATAGTTGGCCTTTAAAGTACTTAAGTCTCCCTTTGGGTGGTAACCTGATGTCTATCACCTTTTGGGATCCTGTTGTTGAGAAGATAAGGAGAAGGTTAGATGGATAGAAGAAAACCTTTATTTCTAGAGGGAGAGGCTAATATTAGTACAGTCTGTGTTACAAAGCATTCTTATTTATTACTTGTCTCTCTTTAAGATACCTTATTTGGTGGGTAGTAGAAAGATTGAAGAGATGAGGAGGGACTTTTTATGGGAAGGGTGTAGCGAAGGCAAAAATGATCATTTGGTGTCTTAGAATGTGGTCATTAGGCCGAAAATTAAGGGTGAGTTGTCGTTGGGAACTTGGTGAAAAGAAATGAGACTTTGTTAGAAAATGGCTTTGGAGATTTCCATTGAAACAAGGTATATTGTGGCATACGATTATTAGGAAAAAATATGGGTTATAGGCTAATGGGTGGGATGCTAAAGGGGTTGAAGAGGGGACCTTCCGAAGTCCATGAAAGTTCATTTCTTAGAGGTTACCTAGTTTTTCTCAGAGTGTAAGTTTAATGGTGGGAAATAGGTCTAGGTCCATTCTTAGGAGGATATTTGGAGGGAGAGACTTCCTATGCTAATCTTTTTCCTCGCATTTATCGTATCTCTTGTTGTCACAATAAATATATTGCATCTTTTGTCATGTCACTATTTTTCGATGTCTTTCAATTTTAGTTTTCGTAAAAATCTTAATGATAGGAAACATTCGGAGTTGTTTTTACTTCTTACTATGCTCAATAATGTCTCTTTTTCTCAGAATTCTTTGGATAAAAAAATTTAGATTAGTGATCCCTTGAATGTCTTCTCTTGTAAATCTTACTTTGAATCATTAATTGATGATTCTTTTCTACCATTATTTCATCCATCTTTCAAGATTTGTTATTCCAATATTCCTTTAAAGGTGCAAGTTTGTGCATGACTAATCACCTATGGTAAGAATAATAATGATGTGCTTCAAAGAAAGCGACCTAAGACATGTCTTTCACCTCAATGGTGTTATGTGTAAAGAAGATGGCGAGAGTGTGGATCATCTAGTTAAATTGTAAACTTGAGATAAGGGTTTAAAAAAGAAAGGAGAAGATAGATTGATAGAAATAATGTGTGTACGGCTGTGTTACCCAACACTTCTTAGTTATAGTAGAGAAATAATTTGGGTAATTATAATATTACCCTATACTCATTAAACAAGACTAATACAAAAAATAAGAATTTTAACACTCTCCCTCCAACTGGAGTATAAAAAAAAAAATGTCAAGCATTGAAAATAAATTACTAAAGGTAGACCAAGCTAATGCTTTAGTAAGAATGTCACCCAGTTAATTATCAGACTTGATATATGAGGTGATAATCTCTCTAATGAAATGACAATCTACCTCGATGTGTTTGATAGGTTCATAAAATACCAGATTACTTGCAATGAAAATAATTGTTTGATTGTCACAATGCATCTTCATGGGGGAAGACGCATGAATTTCCATATCACAAAGTAAAGAGCGGACTCATAAATATCACATGCAGTATGAGTCATGGCTCAATATTCAACCCCAACATTAGAACATGCTATCACATTCTGTTTTTTACTATGCCAAATAATAAAATTATCATCAATAAACATCCAACTTGCAAAAGTAGATCATCTATATGACTACCTACCCAATCTGCACCAAAAAAATCAACACCAATTATGGATGATGATGGGCAATAAAATAATCTTTTCACCACAGCCCTTCAGATTCCGAAATATACGACACACAGCCTCCCGATGAGGTTTATGAGGAACATGCATGAACCGACTAATCACACCAATAGCATATGTAATATCAGAATGTGTGAAACAAATCAACTTACCAACTAACTTCCAATAACACCCCCATCAAACCCACAATCTTTATTCATGCAAAGAATCTCATACATCAACTTTCTATAAACAACTTTTTATTAGCTCTTCCTCCAACTGCATATGATCTTACATTCAAACTGCATTCCTCAACTAGTCAGTATATAGAAGTAAAAAAATGGATCCCAATTCTAATAGCTTCATAAGTGAAATAATCAACAATCTTATTAGTAGTAGCAGCCAAAATAAGTAGCTAATCTATCATCCCACAACAAAAATATCAAACATCATTTGTTCGCCAATAAAACTTCATCCCACAAAAAATAAAGTAATCACCAAACGTTCCCAAAACCCTAGCTCAAATGACCCCAATCCACTCTCTGGCTTAATTAACACAAGTTCTCCACTGATCACAAGCCAAAATTCTTTTGTTCTGTTTTCCTCAATTTTCCACCATCCAAACAGAAAGACACGTGCAAATTTCAATATCAAATCCAAATAAGCCCGAAAATCCTGATTGTCCAATTAAGGATTAAAAGACAGATTAAGACAAACTTACATTCGGTGTAATGAACGTAGTATTCGTAATCATGGGGCCCACCCGACTGCATTCTGCGCCGTTCGATGACTTTGACTGGATGAAATTTTCCGTCCCTCCATCGGCACATGACGCGAGTACCGACCTCGAGAGGTAGCAGACTGGCTTTCCTCTTCCTGGAAGCTCTGTTTTCGGTCTGGGCTCCGGCGTAGTCTGACGCCGCTTGCAGCAGGGATCCGCCGCCGGCGACGGGGGGATGGCCATCGGGAATTGAGGTTGGGGAAGATCCGTCCTCTGTAATCGGTGGTGTCTCGTTGGAGCCCATTTTTCCGTATAAACTTCGCAAATGCCACAAACAATAGGACCTCCCCGTTTAGTCAAATATCAATTAGACCCCCCCTTCTATGAAAAATAACATTAACCTCCCTTCTCTTGTGGTTGTCTGTTCTTCCAACCGCTAATATTCCGTTAGAGTCTTAGAGAGACACCTATAATTTAATGACGTAAACAACCCAATTTTATAAATGTCAGCATTACCCTTATTTAGATTGTAGACAAAATAAACTTATTGCCAAACATATCATATTCATATTATTAGTATTATTAGTTTCCAAACAAACACCTACTATTTTTTGTCTCTAAATTAAAGTTTGAATCTTGCGTACAAAATTAATTATATTAATGGAATTGGTTTGAATTTTTTAGATAAATTTAGCTTAATTAATTAAATTGATTAGATTTCATCTGCATTTGAGATAAATATAATTTAATTAATAGAGTCAATTAGATTTTATATTGGTTTAAGGACAAAATTAACTTAACTAATAAATTAATTAGATTTGATTTGAACTTTAACTTTAACTCAATTATAAATTGATTAGATTTTGTCTAACTTTTGGTATAAAATGTATTTCATTAATAGAATAAATTATATTATGTTTCTTTTCATTATATTTTCTTGTAACATGACATGGTATGATTGGATATAACAAAATTAGCTAAAGGTTAAAAAGTAAAGAATTTTTGGATCAATGACACTATTGTGGGATCCGTATATACATTGCATGATATTATATATAATGTTGGGATCTAGAGTGTAATTGTTAATACTAGCTATGGAATCAAATTATAATTACTCGAAACATGGGGAATAGAGTAAGACTATGAAAATAACTTCTAAAGTTTAAATATGAATTTACACAGAGTGTTGAGGGTAAATAGTTAATGGAGGAAAAATTAAATATAATGTGTATTATAAGTGAAATTGAGGGGGCCTTAGATATAAATAATGCATGAGTGGGGTGACTCATTGGACATATGCCACCTTGAAAGTGCTTATGAGAGCCGAGAGCTAAGTAAAAAATTTAATTTGGTACAAGTCACTTTAATAAAAAAAACTCAAATATTTATTTAAATCTTTTAAAAAAATTTCATATTATCCCAAAAACTAATATGTTTAATATTTTCCACAAAAACATATTATCCGCTAGTAGTATCTCTCCTTATATTTTTGCCTCTCAATATTTCATTCTCTCCAAAATTTATCCCTCTTTATTTTACATACACGGATGTGTACACAAAATATTTTACCACTGTGTACACAAGAATATACACATCCATATCCTTTTCCCACCAAATCATGACAAGAATTTAGCAAAAGATACACAAGAATATTTTACACCCATTAGTTTCTTGAAAACGAATTTTGCTCTCAAAGGAATGACTCCTTTAAAATATATTTTGCTAAATTCGTTTTCATCTTCATCTTCATCTTCTTCTTCTTCGTATGATGATGATAATGAAATAGCTCTTTATGAGACAAATAATGCCACAATGATAGAAATGTTGAGAGAAGAGTCAGAACAACCCAACAAACATGATGGTTATATTCTACACCGAAAATTCATTTTTCATGATAGGCAAAAGGGTCATGATCGATTATTCACCGATTACTTTGCTGAAAATCCTGTTTACCCTCCTTCAACGTTTCAAAGGCGCTTTCGAATGACACGTGAGTTGTTTATGCATATTCTCAATGCTATTGAAACACATGATCCTTTTTTTGTTCAAAAAATAGATGCTTGTCATGTTGTTGGATTGTCCTCCCTTCAAAAAATGACTTCATCAATTAGAATGCTCGCCTATGAAATGTCGGCGAATGCTATGGATGATTACGTACGAATTGGAGAAAGTACCACAATATTAAGTTTTAAACATTTTTGTCGATTAATTATTGAAATTTTTGAGGATGAGTATCTCAGATCTCTAAAGGGAAATGATATTGCTAGGCTACTTGTTGTTGGAGAGGCTCACAGGTTTCCGAGAATGTTGGGAAGTTTAGATTGTATGCATTGGGAATGGAAAAATTGTCCAACCGCTTGACAAGGCTAGTATTGCGATCATATGAAAAAACCTACTATAATTTTGGAAGTCGTAGCATCTTATGACTTGTGGATTTGACATGCCTTTTTTGGAATGTCAGATCTCACAACGATGTAAATGTCTTAGATCGCTCTCCTCTCTTTTCTGAACTTGTCCAAGGGCAAGCTCCTCCCGTTAATTACTCCATTAATGGGCATACCTACAACGTGGGTTATTATCTTGCTGATGGTATATATCCTCCATGGGCGACATTGGTTCAGACCATTTCTTCTCCACAGGGATCCAAAAAACAACATTTTCCTATGATGCAGAAATCAACGATAAAAGATGTGGAACGAGCATTTGGGGTTCTCCAACCTTGATTTGCAATAGTACATGGGCCAGCACGGTTTGGAATCCTGAAACACTTAGGAATATCATGAGGACGTGTATTATTTTACACAATATGATTGTTGAAAACAAGCGAGATGAATATGGCAATTTTGAATATGAAACATCAATGCATAACTCATCCATAGCCCGTCATGCAAGAATTAGAGATAAAAATGCTTACCATATCCTTCGAAATGACTTGATTGAGAATCTATGGCAACATCACGAAGAGATGTGAATTTGAGCTTTTGACAAAGTGAAGATGATGTTTAGTCATTAAGCATATATGTTTTTCCTTTAGCAGCTTATTGTCGGTCATTGCAAGTACTATCAATATATGGATATTTCTAGTTTTATTTCTCTTGTAACATGGATGTCTAGTGTTATTTCTCTTTAACATTCACTTCAAAAATACAAACAGTGATAAGTTTCAACCACAAGACAAACACAATCTAAAAGCAACAAACAAAAGTCTTCATAGTTTAGAATCTTTTAGTGTCCAACATAAACATGTGGCAATAAACAAAAATAACATGTCCATCGACATGATTTAAACAAAAATAACCAACTCCAAGCCATGATTTAAAACTCATTCCCTCTATTTCGAGCATGACTTGTCTTTGAAGATCTTCATAGTAGGATTTTTGCATAGTAGTTAAATTTGTCATATCCATTGACATGATCTTATGATCCTCATTTCTCTATTCTATGTCATTCATCATTGCTAACATTTGTAGTTGGGCCTCCCTACACTTAGCCTTCCTCTCACCATCTGCTGCCTTTTGCTAATCTCGTTCAATAGCCGAGAAGACAAACTAGCCAACACTTCAATAATTTTAGTTTGATTGGTTGCTATATCATCAAGCCTACCATCATGAGTCATCTTCTTCCTTTGTGATTCTTTTGTAGCCTTACTACCATTTGGTCGTTTTGGTCTCTCTTTTGAAGGTTGTGTTTCTATATCAGAGTCAAGAGATAACGGGGTAGTAGGAGTTGAAGAAATTGAAGGCGATGAAGTATGCACCGTAGGTCTCTTGAAATTCGTTCTAAGTTCATACCACTTACAACTATGGCGCAATATTTTCCAACATGTCTCAAATGTGAAGTGTTTTTTTTGAATTGAATGATACATGCGTTTAGCTTCAGTAAGCTAGAAAAAATAAATAAATCAAATATTAAACAATAAAATCGTAAATAACTTTAGTTTGAAAAAATTACCTTGTCTACTTCAAACATCCCACTTTGTTGCCTCATTTGAACTTGCTCTAGAAAACCAAAAAATTTATTCACTACCTTTTGAATCAAAGCCCAGCGGTAAGCTAAAGAAATGTTTGATCTATTTGTTTGAATAGTTGGTTGGGAAGAGAAATAGGCATGAACACGATCCCAAAACATTGCTTTGGTTTGGCTATTTCCAAAAATTGGATCTTGGGAGACGGCTAACCATGCTCGACAGAGTGCTTCATCTTCCAACATACTAAAGGCTTTACCACGAGAACGACTACTTTCAGAAATGATTTCTATTCCATGAGATTCCTCTAAGCATGGAGAATTTTTAAACATTTCTTGATCATCCATTGTATGATTCGTTTTACTTCCAAAATGAATCACCACAAGCAGAATAGTGCACTTTATATAATAACTGAGGATCTACATAAAGGTCTGCAACTAAAATATTAAATCAGTAACTATCAAAAGGCTGAATTTGCAAATCACAATCAAATGTCATCCAATAATGCATGTAGATATGTTTCAAAGTACCAAGCAAAAAAAGAAAAAGATATGTTTGTGTCTACCAAATATACTGAACTTATTTTGAATATTTGGTTGAATATTGATACATGACAGCTTGTTGTGTTGCCCACTAATCTGACTAAAATATTAAACTTGTGTACTGTAAACGAAAAATAAGAAGAAAATAGATTTCCTTCTACCAGTTGCAAGTAGATTTTCCAAAATTCCATACAAATTTTCCAAGATTTCATTATAAAGAATAGCAATTGCCAAACTACTCCAATCAATACTATCTCACATATAAAGCACATACCACTTTAATCAAAAGTCTTAACAATCCCATTAAAAAAACCATCTCACTTGATAAAAAATGGGAACTCTTAACATTCAACTATCAAAAATCTCTATTTTTCCTGAAAAATATTAACAAATATATAAACACAATGTAATATTCAGAGCTTGACACTATAATTTCATACCATGATGACACAATTCAATTATTCAACGTAAAAAATGTAACTTATGATGAATAACCAGAAGTCCAAACATATCATTGGACAAGATTTTTAGAGAGAACATATATAGAGAGAGAAGATGATAAATACCTTGGTCTTTCACACATTCGGCGAATGTATTGCAATTGGAGCAAAGAGCCAGGGGATTCACGCAGCAAATTGTTGGATTAAGGCTTCATATCTACAGGGATTCACGCAGCAACGATGGGTAGAGTTAGGGTTTATACAAAAAAAAAGTTGGGATAGTCGATGATGAAAAGGGAGAAAATAGAAGATGAAGAGGGTAGCAGATTACCTTGAGACCATCATTCTTCTAGGCTTG